TATTTCAGGTACAAGAGTGACCTCTTCCATTTCGGCACCCTCAACTCCTCTCATGCAGTTCTGATCAATGACACCTGGAGCATCGGGGGCAATGATCGAAGCTTGCGCTACCTGAATGGCCTAATCTGCAAATTCCCTAGTGCTTGCCTCTTAGACAAGGAAGGCCAACTGGCTTCCTGGACACTTAGTGATCCGCTTGCATGCCTGACTCATTCTTACACCCTTCCCCAGTATCGAGGACACCATTGTAACGCAGTTGTGGGGTTGGAAGCTGCCAGGAAAATGTATGCCAAGGGGTTTCCTGCCTATGGTGGGGTTCTACCTGACAACAAAGCTGCCAAGCAAGGACTAATGAAATATCAAGGTTTTCATACCTTACCATTTACAAAGTATACCCTTTTCTTCACACCAGGATGCTAAAGCCCCCCAAATTGGAAGAAATAATGTTTTTCAGCCATCTGTATATGTATTAATTATATTACAAAAAAGTAGTATAACAGTATTTATAGCAGTTCCTTTTCTGTATCACCTCAAGAACCAGAAATAGAAGCATTTCCTTTGCCTTCTTTTCCAGTAGTGTTGCGACCAACAAGGTCAACCATTTACTGTCAGGGCCCAAGCATTTGTCGAGTCTTATACAAATATCTCCCTTGTGTGGCTTTGCCTTATCATGATGGAAGCTGAAGTGGTCTTAAACAGCATTTTGGTGGGTTTGATGGTCAAAGAAAAGGCACGGGACATTGCATGTGAACTTTTGAAGCTTCACTGGCTTACTTTTCAGGTAAAAGATGTTTTGAAAATCTTCCAATAAAAGAAAAGTGATGGTAATCTAGTCATAGGCCAACAGAAACAACATATGATACACCTGTAACTTGTGCATTTTGTCTGGAAGCATCTCAATGCAGGGACAGACAACTCCCCTTTTTTGGCTAAACGAGGTCAGAGTCAATGGACATCCTGGATCTCAAGAGAAGATATTTTACTGCTGCTGATGTACTTCGACTGTTCTTGGATATCAGCACTGATAGCATTTGATGGCTATGTTTCCTAGACAGGCATGTAGCTGGGGGAGGGGGGGGGGCTGGGGGGCTTAACCCCCCCCCCCCGAAATTCTCATGGTGGTTCGTGAAAAGGCCTTACTGGTGCATTATTTAAACTGTTATGTTTATTCATATCATGATCTGATCACCATACTCAATATATCCCATATGCATGGGGGTATTGGGGTAATGATACAAAAGGTTTGCTAGGGTAGACCCTCTTTCACTCAGACTCAGCCCCCCCCCAAAACTCAGCCCCCCCCCGAACCCCCCCCCCCCCCCCGAAACGAAATTCTGGCTACGGGCCTGTTCCTAGATATTACTTCTACTTCAACTAGAAACAGAACAATTCTGATTATGTTGGGGCAACTATTCCCCACCTTGTTGTTGTCCACTTTTGGGGTGTTGAACTACATGGACCTTTTGTCCAGGCCAATCTTTGTTCTATTTCTCTTGTTTTCCTGTCCATCAGTTCTTTCCCAGCTCTCTCATACAATAAAACTAGTTTAGATTAGAACCATGAGCAAATGTTCTAATTTAGAATGGGGTTACTATTATAATTGATTTAGTTAGCTACTCCAAGCCAATTGGTGTCTTTGCTACCTTATCAGGATCTCTAGCAATTTCACACATTCTGTTAGCTATGTCTATACCATCACTATGGATTAGAAAGTCATAGAGAGAGAGAGACTTATTCCCTGCATTGAGTTGGGATCTAATCACTTTGGCTGATGGTCAAAATAATGTGATGTTTAGGAGACTGACTGGCCTTCTCCATTTGGCTACAGAAAGATTTAGACCACCCTTTGGGTGGTTCCAGGCAGACCTATATCCCTGGATTATTTGCATTTTGAAAATGCAGATGTCCCTGGAGGGCTGTCTACACCCACCCCAAAAAGCGTGCAATGTCTGGGGTGGGTATCCAGATGTTCTGGGGACCCCCCCTCCCCCAAACCCCCAACCCCCTTTTAAAAGTAAAGAAAACTTACCCGACCTCCAGTACACTGTTGCAGCCACTCCCCCGGCGCATAGAAATGACACGGCAAGAGAACGGAGGGGGGGGGGAGTGTACAAAGGGTCTAGTCTGGTTTGTACAAAGGATGAGACTCAGAACATAATATCACCATTATGCATATTTATTTATTTACTGTATTTATATCCTGCTATTCTCACCCCAAAGAGGATTCAGTGGTTTATATAATTTGGCACAATTTGATGCCGCAATTCAATAATATATAAATATACAATGAAAAATATACAGATTTTATCTGTATGTTGTTGGATATATGGGTAAAAGTTTTTCATTACAAAGAAGAATACATGCCTATTTTTTATTTCTTGATGATTATGCATTAAAAAGGTTAATAAACAAGATTATAAATTTCTGTTCATATCGCTGTACTTTTGAAGAAAAGCCACTTTTTCTTTCTTTTTGTGTAAAATTTTATTGTGATATATTAAAAAAGAAACATGTAATTTTTGAAATTCAACGATCAAAATACAAGTATTATTTCCCCAATCCCACCACCTCCCTATTCCCACCCGTAAACCACCACCCTTGACTGCTGACACCACACCAAATGGAACTAGTATCTAACAAAAGTCTGTCCTTATCATTGCACTAATAAATCCTCTGTACAGCTATTTCAAAATTTACCCTGCCCTATCTCCCCGAGGGGACTCAGAGTGGCTCACAACACAAAAGGCAAACACTCAATGCCATAAAAAATACAATAAATTAAACAAATTCAAATAGACAGTACAACACATTCAGCAATCATATGAATCATATCAGAAGCAATAAAAACAAGTTAAAACAATATCTATAAAATGAGGGCTCTAAAAGGGCTGTAAATATAAGCAAAGGTTGTCTGCTTTGCTCTGACCCATAAGAATTCTAGCAGGGATGCTCATCAAACATTTTTGCTTGAAATCACATAAACACATAAAATTCATCAGCATTCATAAACATTAAAATAACACCAAATAACATACAACAACACTTACAGAAATCAACATGAACTCAATTAAATAAAAACTCAAATAAAAACACAACAATAGTTACTACATAGTTAAAATAAGCAAGTTAAAATGTCAACATTCAAGTGCCAGAGTGGAACATCAGTCTATTTTGGTCGTCTGATTTAGCTGGTGCCTTAACCATTGTCAAAGGCCTGTTTGAAAAGCCAAGTTTTCAACTCCACCTGAAAGCACTGAAGTGTGCAGGCATGACTGATCTCCCTGGGGAGGGCATTCCAAAGCTGGGAGCTACCACCAAGAAGACCCTCTCCCTTGTCCCACCAACTGTGCGTGGAGTGGAGGTGGGACCGAGAAGAGAGCTTCCCCTGGCAGATCTTAGTGCCCGTGCCGGTTCATAGACAAAACTCTGCCCAGAGAACTCTCCTTCCAGCAAAAGGCTAAAATCCTTTTATTTAGGCAGGTTTTAAAAGAAGTCAGTGGATGCCTGGTTTTAGCTATGAATAGGTTTTTAATTGGTTTTAAAGTTTTAACTGTTTTTAATAGGGTTAATCTTTAATTCTATTTCACTTTTTGCATATTTTTAGGTTTCAAAGTGTATTGTATTAGTTTTATTGTGAGCCACTTGCAGTCTCTATTTTAGAGAAAAAAACTGGAGGCAAACAACAACACTTGTTAGAGTGCATGCAGTGGTTCAAGATCTTGATTTAAGAAGCAAACATATCAATAGCTTGGAGAAAGGAACTAAGCCTTATTGTAGGAACTTCATCCTATGATAAGAAAGTTACTCAGGATCTAACCCAGATGTATCTTGGAAGGTTGAGAGGTGGCTCATGAGAAGAAGGAGAAGTGGATAAACACTCCTAAGGGTATCAGTTGATATCACAGAACGGTCTGGATAGGTAGATAGAGGCAGGCTTCCTTCTCCAAGCTCTATTGTGACATCAGTGAGGGTGAACAAGGAAAGGAACAGCTTCCAGCAACAGTAAAGAGGCTTTATCTTTGTTTTGTGGAGAAACCGGGCAGAGAGGTTAAAGAGGTGTTGCCTATGCCAACTATGCTGAACGGGATGCATGGCTTGTCCCCCGCCAATGTGGAGGACGTGCTGCATTATGTGACTGTGTAGAAACACCATAATTTCAGTAGAGCACAGATCTTGACTGCTGCCATTCATTCAATCAAAGAAATATTGTTCCTATTTGATTAATCTCATAGTTTGATTATAATTACAGCACAGATGTCACTGTCTTGCCAACATAAATGAGCAGAACAGGACTGTGGGATGTTCTGTACCTGTGCCTGGGGCCCAGAAATATATACTGCCTTGACCTTAAAGGCAAATGATGTTTGTATGGAGTGGTAAAACATATAAGATTACAAGCCTGAAGCCAAGGCAACATTTTGTTGATGGTTCATCCATGAATTTAAACTCAAGAGAATGTGCAACCAAGAGGTTACATTCCTAAACCAATTTAGGAATGGTTTAGGAATGTAAACCATTCCTTGTAACCATTGAATGGGAAGAACTTCATTTTGGCCATATGCCAAGGGACCATTTTGTTAATGGTTCATCCCTTCAAGATTAAAGTCTGCCTTGCTAAAAGACAAAACTGTCCTTAAAAAGACCCAGCAAGGGGAGAACAAGGTGTTATCCCTGAGCCCTGTGACTGGAGGTTGCTCTATCCTTCTCCCAGCAAGACTAGCCCTACCAGGTATGCATTGTTATCATCAAACTCCTCTAAAGGAATCAACCCTTTCCCTTCAAAGATGTTGTTATGCTATAGGACTCCTTTAGTCTTTACTCTTTCCCAGATTTAGAAGGAAGGTCTCACCAGAACAGTAGCAATTGAGAACTTATATATGGCACTGTCAGCCAAATATGTTAAAAATATACTTCTGAGAAACAGAAAGATTTTTGCCTGCCTGTCTCACAACTCTCTCTTCAGGCATTTCCCAGCCATACCATCTTTATTGTTGGCAGCCACCATTTAGCCAGCCATGCTGATCCTGACCTGTGCCACCAAGCTGCAGTTGCTAGAGCGTGTGCTGCAAAAAAGCCTGCCTCAGACACTTCCGGTAAGACTCATTCTCTCATTGCTTGGGGTTAATTGCCAGCTTTTCCTCACATTCAGCTAGTCATCTCTCCTTGTCCTCCCACCTTCCACGCAACCAGGGGAGAAAGTAGAACCTATTTTCCATCAGGCTAAGCACACACTAATAAATGGTAAATTGTGCCAGTCCTGCATTTATCTGAGAGCCGATCCTACAATTCATTAGTCATCAACGTTAATATATAACATATAAAGTCCATTTGTCAGTTAAATGCACAACACTGTTGTAATAAAAAGAAGTTAAAACAGAGTAAACCAAATTTACAAAATGAGTAACAAGGACAGATGAGCAATAGCGGGTTTTCGCTCTCCCCAGTCCTCATTAGATACTTTCATGATAAAGTAAAAGAGATGATAAAATATTTCTCTATGCATCGATCCCCCATTACACATACACAAACAAACCTTTCTATAGTGGCTCAGGACTATTCCTATGCCATGTTTTCTATGACCAAGCAATTAGTAAAAAGAGGAATTTCAAATGTCTTGCCCCCTGATTCTCTTGATCTCTATGGGATTTGGTATCAAATGTATCCAGAGCGACAAGCAAGTGAATGGGAATTTGAAACAGTAACAAGAAGGAAATAAACCCTGTGAAGATGAGATTAGTTGAGAGCAAGTCAAACAATTGTTTCCTGAAACCAGAACTTTGATACAGCCAATATTTCAAATGCAACATGTGTGGTATTCTGATATACTAAAATGTCATTTCCTATGCTTCACATTAATATTCCCATGAAGTATTTCACAAAGCAAGACATCATTTGCTCCAGGACTTAGCAGAACCTCATCTCTTATCCATCATTTGCTCTTGGACTTAGCCTAAACTCATCTTTTATTGGCAGGTTTGTGGGGCAGTGATGCACATCAACCGTGGAAACCCAGCACAGCACGAAGTGGTGGTAGATTCATGGCCTAAGTTTAAAGCTGTCCTCACTCGGCCACGTACGGAGGTAGGACCTGAAATGGAAGTGCTGATAGAACCAGTTCACAGTCCACTGGACGAAGTATAGGCTATTTACTTTGCATGTACCATACCATCCAACCGTCCCATTTTGTCATGAACATCCCAATTAATCTTCTGCCATCCCACTTTTTCAGATAAATTTGAAATATCTCAGCTCTCTTTTCCCCCCACATTCTACCTTTGTCCTCAGCTCATTTCCACTGTTGCAAACTGAGTTCAAATATTAAAAGGAATTTGCACACAACTCAGCAGAAAGGATAGGAGAGGAAGTGGTGTAATCTTGCCTTTCCCAGTAGACTCAAGCAAAAGCAAGTGAATGCCTTTCCAAGTTTCTGTGTTTTACCTCAATAAGAAAGTCACCCACACTTTGTTGTTATTTGGCTACTCATGTCCTAATTTTCTTTTTCATGTGACGTCTATAGACATTCTATGTCTCGTAGGCATATAGCTGGTTTGGGAGGACAATAGCTTTGTAAACAAGCACCTTGGTATCCCTACGGATGTCCCGGTCCTCAAAAACTCTGTGCTTCATTCAGAAAAATGCTGCACTCACAGAGCTCAGGCGGTGTTGTATTTCAGTGTCAATGTTGACTTTTGTGGAGAGGTGACTGCCAAGGTAGTGGAAATGGTCAACATTTTCTAATGTCACATGCAACTCCTGGAATGATTCCATCAGTGTTGCCTCCGAAAAATCCTGCAAATCTCTTGGAAAGACAGGCAGACAAATGTCAGTATGCTGGAAGAAGCAAAGACCACCAGCATTGAAGGGATGGTTCTCCACCATCAACTCCGCCGGACCTGCCATGTTGTCCGAATGCCTGACCACCGTCGCCCAAAGCAGTTGCTCTACCCTGAACTCAAGAATGGAAAACAGAATGCTGGTGGACAGGGAAAGAGATTTAAAGATGGGCTCAAAGCCAACCTTAAAAACTCTGGCATAGACACAGAGAACTGGGAAGCTCTGGCCCTTGAGCGCTCAAGCTGGAGGTCAGCTGTGACCAGTAGTGCTGTAGAACTTGAAGAGGCATGAATGGCGGGTGAAAGAGAGAAACATGCCAAGAGGAAGGCGCGTCAAGCCGACCCCGACCAGGACCACCTTCCACCTGGAAACCGATGCCCTCACTGCGGGAGAAGATGCAAATCAAGAATAGGGCTCCACAGTCACTTACGTAGCCACTGCCAGTTCACCAATCTTGGAAGACAATCCTACTCAGACAATGAGGAATCATGTAAGTAAGTAAGTAAGTAAGTTCTTTTCTTTAAGTATTTTTTATTGAAAGAGAAAAATAGAAACATGATACAGCAATGATAAAATAAACAAACAAGCTGTGAAGTCATTATTTAAAAAACATCACATTCTAGCTACTACTACTATACTACAGCTAAGTACCAAAAATATAATAAAACACAAAAGTAAAATACATGTGCACACAGATAAACACAAAAACAAAACAAAATACTAATTAATGAACCTCTCAGACAGTGATGGGTTTTTATTTAATCTACCTTCTTTAAATGATATTATACAATCACAATTCCCCCTTTATCAACATTCTACTAATTGATACATTCCACAATTGGCAAGTGCTCCCATCATTATTACAACAAAGTAGTTAACAATCCAAATCTCTTTTGAAGATGGATAAATATTTCTACTTAGCCAGCCTAGTCAATTTGTCCATATCACCTTATTCACAAATCTTCACCAACCATGGTCGTCATCCTTCTTCTTCTCTTCTCATTGATCCTCCTTTTCTTCCCTTTTCCTCTGATGTGTGTCAATCTTGGTTCTGTGTGTCTTCATCAATAAATAAAGTTGGTGAAAAATCAAGTCATGATTCCATAGCCTTACGAAATTAGCTACTGTTGCATAAACCCCCCCTGGGCAAAATTATTATTTGTTCCCTTCGTGCCAAAGGCTGCAGACACTTGAAGTGTATCTGTTTGGATCTGCGCATTTTCAAAAAAATCAGGAAACTAGCTACAGACTGCCTATGATCCCTTAATAAATTGGTTACCCCAAACTCTGTGCTTCTTTTGCCCCTTCCTTGCTGTAATGTATCTTTCCCAGCCATCATGTACCTCTCCTTGCTGTAATTCCCCTTTTCTTCTCTTTCCGGATAGCTGGTTCCCCCATTAGAAAGCCTTTGATAGCTTAAGCTCTTTCTGCTCATTATATTTCTCTCCTGCCACCCTCCCTGTCTCAGAGCACACTCTTGGCGTCTTTTGGGACCTAACTCAACCTAGGGATTCTGAAGACTGTTTTCCAAGCCTGAGAAACTATGTCTCCCAGGACTGCTATTACCCACTGAATACTCATATGTTCTAAAGTTGCTTTCCTTATCTGTTCCCATCCTTACAATGTGTAACCTTCCTGCCTTTTTGTTCCAAAGTCCCCCTAAAAGCCCAGTCTTCATGTTCCCCTTTCCCAGCATGGAATTGTATTATTTCTATGTATTTTCCCTTCCTCATGCCTCAATCTACATACAAGGGAGCCTGGCTTGGATATCTGTACATACTTGGGGAAACTATGTCTCTCATGTGCATGAAAAATGCCCTGAAAGTTCCCTGCCTTTTCCTATGTGTTCCTATGTTATGTTACTAATATATTTTGTGCTTCTGAGATTTCCTGTTCCTTTCCCTGGATGGGAAACTGTATTCCTGACCCAAAAGGAAGTCCTGCATCCCATATGATCATACAGCCTGTGAGAAGAGACTCCAAGCTGGGAATTTCCTCAATCAATTCCCGGCCTCACCCATATTATGAACATTATCTGGACATATGTAACACAATAGCCCAATGGACAGGACAAGATGGCCCCATTGCCTTTTCCTGCCCGCCTTGGTGGAAGTGGCTACACTTCACAATGTACCTTTGTGCGCGGGACCTCTCATCACAGAAGGAAACCTAATTGTCTTTTTTCTATGCCCATCTCCTCTGCCATTTGCATGATTGGGCCAATATGTCCTGATTTGAGCTATCATGATCCGGGGCCACTGCCACTGGGTTGCCCCTCCCCCCTCCCAATGGGGCTCTGTCATGACCATCCTGCACACAATAAACTTTTCCTGGGTAGGACTAATTGCCCTCAATCATTTTTTATCATTTTTCCTGTTGAATAAAGGGAAACCCATTCACCGCCACTCAATGCCCTTTGTCTCTTCACAAGCCGACTGCTCAGCAAAGTCCCCTTTCTGTGATTGGTCAGAACTGGGAGACTCGTCCAATGGGCTACAGCTGATGTTGCTGCAGTGGGAAATTTGACATTATTGTGTATAAAAGAGGCTGTATTTCTGTATTTGTTATTCTAGCTTCTTTGTGAATTTATCACGAGCTAGGATCTTATCTGCAGATAATAAAATCTTCCTTGGCTGAAATTACCTTCTCACCTTGCTGCTGGATGATTTTAATGAGCCTGATCTGTATGCTTGCCACAGCAGGGACTCACAGAAAAGGGGCAGCTCAGAGTTATCACTTGTCTGGGTTTCTGCCAACAGGCTTCTTCCTGGTCTCACTGCCATGGGGTTGCCTCCTAAATTGGAGCCAACACTACCACTTCTCTGTGCAGATTTCTCTGATTAGCCACATAGGAATCCTGTTTGTAGATCTTATCAACTTCCTCCTGCTTCTTGGCAAGGGGTTGGACTGGATGGCCCACGAGGTCTCTTCCAACTCTATGATCTTCACTGAAATCCTTTTATAAAATACACTTATTGGTAAGGACTTCAGTCATTTTACCCAAATGACTCCCACCTACTATTCTAATGGTTCTTGTGATTTCATTATTCTCTTCCTCTCCGTGAAATCTAGGAGTGCCAATATTTCTCAAATTTCCTCTGTTTTTATTTTGCCATTTATGTTCCAGGTTTCACTTATTAAATCTGGAGGCTGTGCTGTCCTAATCCCAACACTGAGCAGATCAAAATTTAGGTCTTCTCCCCTTATGCGATATGCCATTTCTGTGCACAATGTAATTTGCCTGTATTGTTCACTACCTCTTGCTTTTGAGTATTAAACAAGTGGTATCCCTACGCCCATGTCCTCTATCTGCGAGCCTTATTCCCCTCTATTGCTGCATTTCACAGTCCTGCTCTGTGCCATATCCTGCAGGTAGTGAAAGACAGAGGGGATTACTACGCTAATGTGCATGCTGCCTTTTACTGGGATATAGATGCCTGTCAATCCCTGCTGGAAAACCCAGAAGCTATTGACTGGGGCAGAGCTTTTCAGTTGCAAGGTAGGTCTTCATTGTTTCTCCATGCATTCAAGTAGTTTCCGCCCTGTAGTAAACTTATCACAAATCTATCACAATGGTTTTTTTTAAAGATTTGTTCAGAAGAGATTTGTCATTACCTTCCTCTGACTTGTCCTAGGTCACGCAGTGGATTACATGGGATTCGAACTGTGATCTCCAGAGCCATAGTCCCAATGCTTACAGCACTACATCTCAATGGTCCCCTGGGTCCCCCAAGCAATGAAATTTATTCTTAAGGGGAAGTTTATTTTTAATCTGTTTTCTTAATACAGAAATGTTGGACCACTCTGACAAATGCTATGTCAGACTACATTGAGAAGCCATTGAAATCCACAAGCACAAAGACAATTTCAGCAGAAAGGAACCATGAAAATGAATAAAATTTGGCTACCAGTATTAAAAACACTAGAGTCAAGGCAGTGACTAATGAACATCATCCAGACACAGGAGGTCTCCAGGCAGTAAGCAACCAAGGGCTATGAGAACAGAACCACCTAGAACAGTGATTCACAACCTGTGGGTCCCCAGATGTTTTGGCCTACAACTCCCAGAAATCCCAGACAGTTTACCAGCTGTTAGGATTTCTAGGAGTTGAAGGCCAAAACATCTGGACCACTGATCTAGACAAAGGATGTTTCTAGGCAGTAAACAATTCTAAGGGAACAAAGACCAGACTACTTCCTTGCAGATGCCCTACTCACATGCAAATGCTTGGCTCCCACTCAACACATAAAAATCTAGCTTGCTAATTGCACTCTTTACACTTGTTTAGCAGACAATAGTTCTTTCCTCCCATCCTGGACATTCCACAGGTATATATACTCCACTTGCCTTACTATCAACAGATCCCCTGAAGATGCCAGCCACAGATGCAGGCGAAACATTAGGAGAAAATGCTGCTAGAACATGGCCATACAGCTTGGAAACCGCACAACATTCCAGTGATTCTGGCCTTTTACAATACAATCTCTATTTCTCTTTAATTGTTCTCGCTTAACACTTTTGCTCCATGCAGGTCTTCAAGAAGAGTTGTATAACGTTTCTAAAAGTATTGCAGAGGCTAGACGTGTCGAACTGAAGCCCAATTTCTATCAAGTAATACTGAGTCCAGACCCATCCACCTGCTGTCCAAGCCAGTTAGTGAACGTAATTCCTCCCTGGGGTACCTGCTTGGTGAAAATCTGTTGTCTAAGCAGGGACACCTATGATTTGCATATTACTTGGGCACAAAGGTTGAATAAGGAGTTTCTGTCAACTATATGGCCAAATCCGATATGGAATACGCATGGACCCCAGGCACAGGGGAACAATTACCAATGGCCTCATACAGAGAGGGAGCTGCATCAATACTGGCCCTGCTGCTTTGTTGCCAGCAGTGGCATCACTAGGCTTGGTGTCAAACAGTGCAATAAATCAGGACACCCTCATGGACTTCCTCCTGTATGAGACCATATAGAATCTGAATAATTTTTTGTATTAGTTTTCCTCGTAAATCATAATACCTATATATATAATTGACAATAGTATTGAATTATGCTGGAAACCGCTTTGAGTCCCCTCAGGGGTGAGAAAAACGGTATATAAATGCAGTAAATACATAAAAATAAATAGTAATAACATAATTCTAGTAATGACATTATTCTATTGAATCTCCTTAATCCACTAAGTGATGCATTGATCATCAATTCATTCTCTTCTATTTAATTATGCTTACACGTTTTTCAATGTTCTGTATTTCTTACTGATGATGAAAAAAGATAATTGCACCTTCAGATGAATTCTCTCATGTTACACCAAAGAAAACAACTCCCAGTTTACCTATATTATTTCCTCTCACAAATCATGAGGCAATTCCTGTGAGGGAAGAAAACGGATGATAGTACTGGATGAATGGGGTGAGATTCCCACTCAATTTCTCCTCACTTATGGAGAGGTGGTAGATTAAAAAGCGGAATGCTCTTCCAGGGACGGGATGAAAAGAAATAGTCTCAGTCCTTCTGCCAGGAGCCTCCGGTGATGCAGTGGGTTAAGACTGACAGATCAGAGGTTCGAATCAGGGGAGAGCATGGATGAGCTCCCTCTGTCAGCTCCAGCTCCCCATGCAGGGATATGAGAGAAGCCTCCCACAAGGATGGTAAAAATCAAACAAAAATAATTCTGTTGTTGTTCATTCGTTCAGTCGTCTCTGACTCTTCGTGACCTCATGGACCACCAGCCCATGCCAGAGCTCCCTGTCGGCCGTCACCACCCCCAGCTCCTTCAAGGTCAGTCCAGTCACTTCAAGGATGCCATCCATCCATCTTGCCCTTGGTCGGCCCCTCTTCCTTTTGCCTTCCACTTTCCCCAGCATAATTGTCTTCTCTAGGCTTTCCTGTCTCCTCATGATGTGGCCAAAGTACTTCCACTTTGTCTCTAGTATCTTTCCCTCCAGTGAGCAGTCGGGCTTTATTTCCTGGAGGATGGACTGGTTGGATCTTCTCGCAGTCCAAGGCACTCTCAGAACTTTCCTCCAACACCACAGCTCAAAAGCATCGATCTTCCTTCGCTCAGCCTTCCCTAAGGTCCAGCTCTCACACCCGTAGGTTACTACAGGGAATACCATGGCTTTGACTAGGCGGATCTTTGTTGCCAGTCTGATGTCTCTACTCTTTACTATTTTATCGAGACTGGACATTGCTCTCCTCCCAAGAAGTAAGCGTCTTCTGATTTCCTTGCTACAGTCTGCATCTGCAGTAATCTTTGCACCTAGAAATACAAAGTCTGTCACGGCCTCCACGTTTCTCCCTCTATTTTCCAGTTGTCAATCATTCTTGTTGCCATAATCTTGGTTTTTTTTATGTTAAACTACAACCCAGCTTTTGCGCTTTCTTCTTTCACCTTGATTAGAAGACTCCTCAGCTCCTCCTCGCTTTGCCCATCAAAGTGGTGTCATCTGCATATCTAAGGTTGTTAATGTTTCTTCCAGCAATTTTCACCCCAGCTTTGCATTCATCCAGCCCACGCACATCGCATGATGTGTTCTGCATACAAGTTAAAAAGGTTGGGTGAGAGTATGCAGCCTTGCCGTACGCCTTTCCCAATCTTGAACCAGTCTGTTGTTCCGGTCAGTTCTTACTGTTGCTACTTGGTCCTCGTACAGATTCCTCAGGAGAGAGACAAGGTGGCTTGGGATGCCCATCCCACTAAGAACTTGCCACAATTTATTATGATCCACACAGTCAAAGGCTTTAGAATAGTCAATGAAGCAGAAGTAGATGTTTTTCTGAAACTCCCTTTCTCCATTATCCAGCGGATATTGGCAATTTGGTCTCTCGTTCCTCTACCTTTTCTAAACCCAGCTTGAACATCTGGCAACTCTCGCTCTATGTATTGCTGGAGTCTTCCTTGCAGGATCTTGAGCATTACCTTACTGGCATGAGAAATAAGGGCCACTGTACGGAAGTTTGAGCAGTCTTTCGCATTTCCCTTTTTTGGTATGGGGAAACATCCTTGCAGATGGCCAATTCTCTCACACCAGAAGCAACTTGCAGTTTCTCAAGTCACTCCTGACACAAAAAAAGTCCTTCTGGGGAGGAGGTTAAGTGTCCCAGTGTTCTAATGGGAAGTCCCAGTAGAATATCTGGACACCCACCCCAGAAAGTGTGCGCTTTCTGGGCTGAGTGTAGCTGGGCAGCCAGGAACATCCACGTTTTTCAAACACGGATGCTTCTGGGATAATGGCCTGTCTGGAAAGAACCTCAGTCCTTCTGCGCTCTGCACCTTCTTTCCTATCAGTTTATGCTGATGTCAACAGCAAGTCAGACTTGTTGAGTTCTGGGATAAATTGCTTGGAGCCTTCCCAGGGTGTGTGAGGGGCTCCTGGATGCTCCGGACCCAGTTCCCTCCTCATCTTTATGGAGCTACACTGAGAATGGGGATGCTCCCTTGTCTCTACCTTCTCCCCATCTTTGAAGAAGAGAAATGTTTTGAGAAACTGCTTTGTGGATTGATCAAATGGCAAGATAAAATGTATTTGATGCTCCACTGTGGCATTTGAATCAAGTACTGTATTTCCTTTCACTTTTCTTCTTTTCTTGGTCTGAATGATATAATTTGATGTAGTGAGCAAAAAGAACAAATAGGTGGTGCAATCTGCACCTATCACAGACAATCTTCCTCTGATTTCCAATAAATACTGAAGGTCATTGGAACACGAATTTGTTAGGTTGCTGTGAGCTTTCCGGGCTGTATGGCCTTGTTCCAGATGCATTTTCTCCTGATGTTTCACAAACATCTATGGCAGGCATCCTCAGAGGTTTTGAGGTCTGCTGGAAACTAGGCAAGTGAAGTTTATATATCTGTGGAATGTCCAGGGTGGGAGAAAGAACTCTTGTTCTCTTGAGGCAAGTGTGAATGTTGCAATTGGCCACCTTGATTAGCATTTAATGGCCTTGTCACTTCAAAGCCTGTCTGATTGCTGTTTGGGGGAATCCTTTGTTGGGAGATGTTAGCTGGCCCTGATTGATCTGGAATTCCCCTACTTTTTGAGTGTTTCTATTTATTTACTGTGCTGATTTTAGAGTTTTTGTAAAACTGGTAGCCATATTTTGTTCATTTTCATATTTCTTCCTTTCTGTTAAAATTGTCCACATGCTTGTGGATTTCAATGGCTTTTCTGTGTAGTCTGCTATGGTGGTTGCTAGAGTGATCCAGCATTTCTATGTTCTCAAATAATATCTTGTGTCCAGGTTGGTTCATCAGGTGCTCTGCGATGGTTGACTTCTCAGGTTGAATTAATCTACAGTGCATTTCATATTCCTTGATTCATGTTTGGGCACTGCATTTGACTTTAAAGCCAGGCTTTGAAGCTACGAGGCCATTAAATGCTAATCAAAGAGGCCAACTGCAACATTCGCACTTGCCTCAAGCAGACAAGAGTTCTTTTTTTCACCCTGGACATTCCACAGATATAGAAACCTCACTTGCCTAATTTGCAGCATATCCACAAACCTCTGGGGAAGCTTGCCATAGATGTGAGTGAAATGTCAGGAAAGAATGCTTCTGGAACATGGCCATATAGCCCGGAAAACTCACAGCAACCAAGTAATTCCAGCCATGAAAGCCTTCAACAACACAATGATTTTTTTTTCATCGCAATGGACAATTTTCACGTCTTTTGGGTTACTCAACAATTGTTGCTGCCTGACCTTGTATTTCAGGTTCAAGAGTGACCTCTTCCATTTTGGCACCCTCAACTCATCTCATGCAGTTCTGATCAATGAAACCTGGAGCCTTGGGGGCAATGATCGAAGCTTGCGCTACCTGAATGACCTAATCTGCAAATTCCCTAGTGCTTGCCTCTTAGACAAGGAAGGCCAGCTGGCTTCCTGGACTCTTAGCAATCCACTTGCATGCCTGACTCATTCTTACACCCTTCCCCAGTATCGAGGACACCATTGTTATGCAGTTGTGGCATTGACAGCTGCCAGGAAACTGCATGCCAAGGGGTTTCCTGCCTATGGTGCGATTCTACCTGACAACAAAGCTGCCAAGCAAGGACTAATGAAATATGAAGGTGCCCATGCCTTACCATTTACAAAGTATACCCTTTTCTTCACACCGGGATGCAAAAGCCCCCCAAATTGGAGGAAATAATGTTTTTCAGCCATCTGTATATATATTCAATATGATATTGCAAAAAAAGTAGTATAGCAGTATTTATAGCAGTACCTTTTTTGTACCACCTCAAGAACCAGAAATAGATGCATTTCCTTTGCCTTCTTTTCCAGTAGTGTTGCGATCAACAAGGCCAATCATTTACTCTCAGGGCCCAAGCATTTGTCGAGTCTTATACAAATATCTCCCTTGTGTGTCTTTGCCTTATCATGATGGAAGCTGAAGTGGTCTTAAACAGCATTTTGGTGGGTTTGTTCTATTCTAGAAAAATTAAATTTTATTCAAAATTTTCACAAAATCTGTGGCCTGAATGTGGTACTCACTTGTCTTGTGACAATGCTGCTTGCCTTTTGTATGTATTAAAATGTCTCACTTCACAGAAATGGTTTGTTCTTCAGTTGTTTCTCATGGGTTAGAACCAATTTGAAAAGTATGGCAAAATTATTTTCCAGAAATGTGTGGTGGGGGGGGGGGGGACACCAGCTACTGATATCAAAGGTACACATATGTTTCCACAGCAATACATACATACATCCAAGCATGTATCTCTCATTATGAGTTTATGGGTGCTCTTATCCCTTCTAAGAAAGAGAGAAACAGAATTTAAGGGAACTGCCCTACCTGTTGGTTGATAACTTCTCAGAAGTAGTCTTTGGCTCCAACTAAAATAATCAGTGAGCCAAATTCACACTTCTTGAGCAATACCTGAAATTTAATCAGAAATACCCTTCTACATAGAAATACATATTTCTCCCACCCAATATTTCAGAAATTCTGAAGTTGATTTTGTTGTTGTCACTTCAAGTTATTTCTGACTTATGGCAACCCTATGGGCCCTTCTACACAGCCATATAATCCAGTTCAAAGCAGATAATCTGGATTTCATATGGCAGTGTGAATGGGCCTAAGACAATTCTGTCATGGCTCTAACAATAATATTTTTCCCTTGTCATGAGTGACTTGAGAAATTGCAAGTTGTTTCTGGTGTGAGAGAATTGGCTGTCTGCTAGGACATTGCCCAGAGGGCACCAGGATGTTTTACCATCCTGTGTGAGGCTTCTCTTATGTCCTCGCATAAGAAGCTGGAGCTGACAGATGGGAGCTCACCTCGCTCCCTGGATTCGAATTGCCGCCCTTTCAGTCAGTAGTCCTGCCTGCACAAGGGTTTAACCCATTACGTCACCTATTGAGAACCTATTACTAGTGCTGTAGTTTCTATGTGACAATATTGTATCATGTGCAGAAATAAGCAAGGAAAAAAACCCTTTCAACTTCTTTATTTTGTATAGATAGTATTGGTTGCTAGTTGGTTATTTGTAATATGAAATATCATCAGTTGCACATACTCTATATATGCACCCCAAACAACAGCTGAATCTTGGACTAAAAAAATTGAATCCTACTAGAACTGGCCCATTAAATTATTTTATGTATGTGTGTGCAGTCTCATTTATGGAATTTTACAGGAGACTCAGAAAACTGCAGTCTTGCCTTTTGTTCCCATTAACTCTTTTTTAAAACTTAAAAAAGCAATGTATAGATAGATAGATGTAGGAATCTTACCTCTCTCATTTCAACTCAGTTCTTGAAGGACCTTGACATTTAGATGTATTAGTGTCCTCCTCAGGAGTAGTTCCTCAGACATTAAAAATAGTCTTTATAACACATAGGAACATTGTCCAGCAACATCTTTAGTCAATTTAAAGCTGAAACTTACAAAATGAACAATGACAACACCATAACTTTCCAGAGTGCACAAGAATGTGATGTGTAAAGGAATGCTTTTGCTACTGTAGGATCTATGTTTTCCTTGCTTGAATATATGGGGAAAGAAATGAATAGGCCATTGCATGTTTTTTGGCCCTCCACAAAATGTCTCCCGTCTGGAACTTTCACACTATTCAACTATGGACAAAGATTCCTCTTTACTGGCTATGGCTGTATCATATGATATTCCAGAATTTATAGTTTGGTTAGGCACTAGAGCTGTCTGCCTGAAAACTCGACATGTCACTTAATATGCTGCCAATCCCAGGGTTTTACACAATGAAACCATGACAGTTAACGTGAAATTGTAGTGTAGTCAAATTTGAAACTAGGACTGTGGATAATGGAGTCTGTGCCCAGTGATCTCAATGAATGAGTCAGGACAGAAAGAGACAACTCATTAGTATGAAGACAAGCCACAGAGGTTTATTCAGTTTGGCCAGAAGGGATGCAAGAACAAGCAGATATGCTTTCAAAATACAAGCATAGCATGCTGAGAAAGGCATAATTTTTATTCATATTCATGTATTTGTGGCTACCATAACAATGTGTCTATGCCAAGGTCAATTCTTCAATAAGGCTAGAGACATACATTGTTGTATCTTTGCAGTAATCTTTCTATTCACCCATAAAATAAGCAACTCCTGTAAAAATTTTCAGAACCCCTGCAAAAGTTAAAAGACATATCTAAAACATTGTACTTCCATTTCAAATATTAGTGCTCTTGCTGCCATCTAGTGATGAACTACAAAATATTTTCATTGTCTCTGGGAAACTGGTGACCTCATTTAACCTCAATGACAGAAACACCCATACATTCTTCTTGTATACTTTCACCCATTTTCACCCACATTTGCATGCTGTACACACTGAGTGCCATACATTTTGAATGCCATTAAATACCATATCTAGAATGTGATGATGTTGACAACCTTTTTTAAACAATATGAAATCATGAGATATTTGAAAATATGACTGATCAGTGGTCAAGTCCACCGACAAGCTGAAGAAACAGGTGTTGACAGGTGAGCATGTTCATAGAATCATAGAATCAAAGAGTTGGAAGAGACCTCATGGGCCATCCAGTCCAACCCCCTGCCAAGAAGCAGGAATGTTGCATTCAAATCACCCCTGACAGATGGCCACCCAGCCTCTGTTTAAAAGCTTCCAAAGAAGGAGCCTCCACCACACTCCGGGGCAGAGAGTTCCACTGCTGAACGGCTCTCACAGTCAGGAAGTTCTTCCTCGTGTTCAGATGGAATCTCCTCTCTTGTAGTTTGAAGCCATTGTTCTGCGTCCTAGTCTCCAAGGAAGCAGAAAACAAGCTTGCTCCCTCCTCCCTGTGGCTTCCTCTCACATATTTATACATGGCTATCATATTTCCTCTCAGCCTTCTCTTCTTCAGGCTAAACATGCCCAGCTCCTTAAGCCGCTCTTCATAGGGCTTGTTCTCCAGATCCTTAATCATTTTAGTCGCCCTCCTCTGGACACATTCCAGCTTGTTTGTTGTCAGAAAATCCAGCATGCATTAGCAGGAATATATGTGTGTAATGTCTTGTTTACAACACAATATTATAAAGAGGTGACATGTATGGAATCCAAATTGTTTCTCAATCATGTGATAAGCAGTTAATAATAGTGCAAGTGCAATGAGTATTTTAAAAATTAATTCATACTGCTGACAAAAAATGAGCTGAACATTAATAAAGTGATAGCAGTATACCGGATTTGTCCTTCTCATTGAGGATTATTTAAATGTCATTCATAATTTTAATTTTAATATTATCCTTCTTTATCTTAATTTTTCCACATGTAATACATATATCACTATGGATGATTTTAATAAATAATTTTATAATTTCATGCTCCAAGGTGTCTTATTTACAACAACTTCTTTCTTTACCATGTTATAGAATTTAGGCAGAAATATAGATGCATACAAGAATGCAAATTTGTTACTGCCTCTTACTGGTTGTTTGAAGAAGGTAGATTTCCAGGGGGCTGCTGACTAGTATTTTTTTTCTGAAAAGAGGGTGGTAGGCCAAATAAGTTTGGGAACCTCTGGTTTAATGAAGCAGTTTGCATACCCAAACACACACACACACACAGGCATAACATGTGAGTAAATCCATTAGGAAATGTTGTTTGGAGATTGGGGAGTTGATGTCAGCAGTATGCTTACAACACCCAACTTATTTGCCATCTGTGCTGATTTCTGGACATGTCTAAACTGACAGCATTTGTGCATGCACTAGATATATCCTATGTAGACCCTGTAATGCACTGTATATGAGGCTGCCTTTGAAATGTATTAAGAAACTTTACTTGATGTAGAATGCTGTTGTCAAACTGTTGACCAGGCTGGTTTCTGGGAATATATAACTCTCTTGCTACACCAACTTCACAGTTACTACCAGTTACCAGTATGTTTCCAAACACAATTCAAAGTGTTAGTTATTATCTGTATTGAATCCCATTCTGGAAAAAGGTGTGGTATAAATTCAATAAAGTAATAAATATTTAAATAAAAAAGACAAAATGCCAACAGAGAGAGCAACAGAGAATAAGACACTTCAAAACATCAAACTATTTTAAATCCAGCAGAAGGAGAAGAGTGTAAAAAGCAGTAAAGTGGTTTTAAAAAAAAGTTTGGTGGAAAAAAAACCCTCTATTTGTACCTGGTTTGAAAAAGTTAATAACATACAATTGTGCCTCTTTGGAGAGAACATTTCTCAGTCAGTATGATATCCCTTTTAAAAAGCCTTCACGTGCTAAAGCATCATTGAGAATGCAGAGTTTTTATTAGTTTTATGGCCCATTTAGACAGCAAAAAGTTTTGAAAGATAATAAAATATAAGCATAAAATGAAATATGTAGTCAAACCACACTTTAAGAGATATTTCGTTTTCTTTTGTGGGTTTCAAAAAGTAAATTGGCACGAATTACCTCCTTGACTTGTCCTAAACCACATCAGTGTTCTCTAATATGCCTTTCTTCTTCTTTCCAAGAAGGAGAAGCCATTTCTGGTAAGAGCGTTGGGCTTGCTGCAGACAGGCTGGCTGAGACTAGAACCCTGACCGGGAAAATGCCGGGAGGCCTTGGCAGGTTTCCATGGCCCTGACCTCCCACTACAGAACAACGTCCCTCCGTTATAGGAATGAATGATCCAAACAGCTATCATGCCAAACCAGCAGGGGCTCCTTTGAGGCCTG